TCAATTATTGGCATCAGCATTACTAAGCCTACTAATGGTCAAAACACACATCTCGAATCTTATGACTGCAATTCAACATCCACAGATTCCTTTCTCAAAGGACTTGCTAGGAATAGTGTGCTCCCCAATGCGTTGTTGTGTACCATAACAAGTACGCACAACTTTATTTTAAAACCGTATTAAATTCCATCAATAAAATTTGTTAGTGGAATTGCCTGTAAATGTATTGATTGGGAGAAAAATACTATTTAATAATAGGACTTTCACCCACCTGTCAATTAGTTGCTCGGCAATCCTTTTACGGTGACACAGGTGAGTGTTACTGGCTCCACCAAAGGTGACCATTGTAAGTAGTTCTCTACATTTTACAAAATATATATATAATATATATATTTTCTATAGTCAATGCATTTGGTTGGGTTTCAGTTAAAGTGAATCTATTATGACTGGTTCACTTTAAATCGCTTTGTTTTGCCTTTTTTTTTTTTTTTTTTTGTAGGTTTTAGAAAGCAGTTTCCTGTCTTTTTCCTTTCCCCCTTACCCTTGTAGCGCCTGCATTGCATTTGATTACTGAACTTTTTTTTATTACTATTTGAAGTGGAAATCAATTCAATCAATTGATTATTTTGTGTATCTGCCCCTGGCCAAATTAAAGAAACAGTGCATGCACACTCCCTGAAGTAACTCACCAGACACAAGTTTCAGGTTAATGAAAAACTTGAAGAATGTTTATTCAGAGGGGACGGCAAGTCCCTTTTTAAAGCAGAATTACATCATATGCATTGTCAGAGATAACATGAAATATTACATCATTAATTGGTTAGGTGTTAAGTGGTTATTTTAATGCTCTGCCTACAAGGGGTGATGTCACTGGTATCATGAGGGTCTCCCCCAGATTCCAGCGCCATTTTGTTACACGAGGTAGTTAGTCGATGTTAGAGGGGAAGCTCCCTAGCGGCCATCTTAATTAATCACATAAGAGTTGGATAATGCTGATTATAGTTAAATGAGTAAATATACATTTTACTAGCTAAAAATTATGTTAATATCTCATTTCCACAACACTATTATTACTTATTGCCCAATGCTGTGGATAGGTTTACCCTAAATCCGATTCTGTTTATCAGCATATTGTTTGGCACAAGAAAAACCACAGTTTTAAATTAAACCAGAAAGAATACATAACCTAAGTAATTTTGTGATTCATAATTTCTTATTTACTGTATTCTCTTTTTTCCAGGTGAGTGCTGAAAGCTTTTTGAGATGAAAAGAAACTTTGTACCTACAGTTCCTGAATGTGTTTATAATTTTGTTGTTTTACTCTTCAGTAATTAAATGAAAGTGCTGTGTCAAACATGAGACTTATCCTTTTGGGAGTGGTTGATTTATTTTTAGCTCACAGGCAAAAATGAAACTTGACAACTCTTTAATAAAAACAATCCTCAATATGATTAAACTATCACTATTGCAAATCCTTACCCATATCAATAAGGAGAATTTCTGTTGGTTGTACAACAAAGTATTTTCAATTGTTATTAAAAAGCCATGTTCTTTTTCAAACTGAATGTTAACTTCAGGTTCCCTCCACCTAAAAAGCCGGCGAAACGCGCGTCGGGGCTCCAACATTCATCCGTGGTTGGACTGCAGACTGATAACAGCCGTGCAAGCAGCACGTGTATTCCAGCAGACTTCCCTGCACTGCATTCTTCAGAAGCGGCTAACAAGGATGAACAGATTTTTTTGCTGTCTGCTCCATAGAGATAGTTAGATTCACTTCCTTAGGTGATCATGTTTCTTATATGGTACTGCAATATCAAAATTTGTGACAAATCAATGCGTTGAGGGTATTGTTCTACTCAGAAGATAACACTGAGCAAATTTTTTACATCACAGTGGAATACATCATATTTACAAAATATCCAGAAAAAAATGCAAAAATTAATTTTCTACATATTTTGGCATAAACTGATGAGAAAATGGTGACACATTAAGGCACAATATACAAAATACGAGATAACCTAGAGCAGTGATGGCGAACCTTTTTGAGCCCGAGTGCCCAAACCGCAATACTTGCCAACTTTTTTTTACCTGAAAGTGCCAACACGGCAATTAAACCTGAATACTTAGGTTTAGGAAAAATAAAATATGTGTTGGGGGCTGTGTGTATGTGAGGAGCTGGGGTGTGTGTGGGGGTAGTTGTGGTGGGGGGTAGGGGGTGGTGTGTGTGGGGGGTAGGGGTGGTGTGTGTGTGGGGGGGTAGGGGTGGTGTGTGTGTGTGTGGGGGGTAGGGTGTGGTGGGGGGGTAGGGGTGGTGTGTGTGGGGGTAGGGGGTGGTGTGTGTGGGGGGTAGGGGTGGTGTGTGGGGGTAGGGGTGGTGTGTGGGGGGGGGTGGTGTGTGGGGGGTAGGGGTGTGTGGGGGGGTGGTGTGTGTGTGGGGGGTAGGGGTGGTGTGTGGGTGGGGGGGTGGTGTGTGGGGGGGGTAGGGGTGGGGTTAGGGGTGCTGTGTGGGGGGGAGGGGTTGTAGGAACGGTAAAGATACATTTAATTAAAAAAAAAAGGTATATCAGATCTGTACCCCCCTCCTTCTTACCTTTGGTGAAGGAGGGGGACATAGCCATTCCTGGTGGTCCGGTGGTGGTAAGTACTGTAAATAGCAGCTCTCCTGTCCTCCCGTGCGATGCTGTGTGGAGTGTTGCCACGGCAACGCTCCACACAGATTGCTTGCGGGAAGACACGGAAGCAGAGTAGGCGCAGGCAGTTTTGGGCAGGCAGGTGCCTACTCTGCATTGATGCAGGCAGCCAGCGGCCCCCTCCCCCGGCGACAGAGAGGGCCCAGCGTGCCACTGGTTCGCCATCACTGTCCTAGAGTGTCTACTTTCACAACTGGTAGGCCTTAATGGGGTGATTTGAACAGTCAAACTGCTACAATGCCCCAAACTGACAGCCATCAAATCCATCTATGAAAATTTTCCCCCGAAAAAGCTGAAAAGGTGTGGGCTCTTGCAAAACTGTGTAGGGCACACAGTGGGGGTATCATGATACTCAGAAGATATAGCTGAGCATGATTTGGGGGTTTATCACAGTGGCACAACAGCAAATTTACAAAACACCATTACTCACAGCTTTACATTTTTGCCGCGTTAAAGCACCACTATAGTGCCAGGAAAACACTTGTTTTCCTGGCACTATAGTGCCCTGAGGGTCCCACTCCCGTGGCACTGAAGGGGGAGGAAGGGGTTAAAATCTTACCTCTTTTCCAGCGCCGGGCTCCCTTGGCGCTGGGACTCCTCTTCTTCCATCATCGGCTGAATGCGCATGTGCATGGCGTCTTCTCACTGTAAAAATCACAGTGGGAAGTGCCTCTAGCAGCTGTCCATGAGACAGCCACTAGAGGCTGGATTAACCCTATTGTAAACATAGCAGTCTCTCTGAAACTGCTATGTTTACAGCAAAAAGGGTTAAAGCTAGCTGGACCTGGCACCCAGACCACTTCATTAAGCTGAAGTTGTCTAGGTGCCTATAGTGGTCCTTTAAGTACAGGACATGACTGACAGACTCCAAGCTATTGAAGAAGACATCATAGATGTGAAGCAGGGTATGACCACACAAGATTAATTCATGCAGCACCTGCAAAAATTACACTTCCAGCTTGCTATTAGAATAGATGTAATGGAAGACAAGGGGCGACGGAGATATATTTAAATCTGCGGAGTGGCAGACTCTGGCCTACAGATGAGCTACCTCACTTTCTCAGGAGGCTCCTATCCTCTGTCCTATCTGCAAAACTCTCCAAGCAGTTTGCATATGATGGCCTGTACCACATCTCAACACCCTCTCAAGCACTATTTAATTTTCCACGGGACATTATCCTCTGCTGCCAGACCTTCGCTGATAAACAGCGGTTACTACATGCTCTGCTGGGGAAAGAAAAAACGAGAACCATTCCCTCACCTTCTTACAGGACTTGAGCAAAGCTACTTTGCTGCTCTGCATCTCAGGTCCTGCAGAAGGCTGGACTTGCCTATCGGTGGACCTACCCTTGGATAGGACAACTTACAAACTACTTCTAGGGCCTGCACGTCTTGAAGCCCTTTGACTCTCTGAGACACGTCCATCTCAGTCCACCGGCCATGTCTGGGATATCACCCGATTTTCAGTTTAATACGGATGACAACAGCTCATGCTGTTATTTTATTGTTCCAATGCTTTTCACATGCTCATAGCTCTTTAATTATCTTATTGCCGACAGATGTGATGATATCCCCACTACCACTCACTAACTATGCAAATACACCTCCTGCGGACGCATTTGTCTAGATTTGCAGACAACCACCCCACCCTATTAACCCAGAGGTTAGGGGTATATGTCTTCTTAGGAGAGCTTGGCCTTAATTCACGGTCCACACTAGCGGTATCCAAATACGTGACATATCACACGACTGACTGCAATTTTGCTAATCAGCCCAACTGTGCCAACTTTCTTTGTTTACCTGATATATTACTCACAGAGAAGCTTGTTCTGTATCAGTCAGCTTACACAGCACCTCACTACCTATACACTTTTCAACTCACCTGACGTTCCTGACTACTTGCATGTTTAACCCTTATTCCTAAAATGTGCAGTCTCTTATGCATGCCTTGTATTGTGATGCCGTTAGTCCACTCATGATTTACTAATGCTGTTGGGGCATAGTAAACCTGGTCAGAGGCGGCTCTCTATTTAGGCGTGACTTGTCGGGTCCATGACCGAGGCATGACATCGGGAGGGAGCCCAGCGGCTTGCCCATAATGTTACCACGGCAACGCTCTGACTTCTGGAGATTGCGAGACTCCTGTCACGTGGTCTGCAGCTCACACTTGGCAGAGCTGCAGACCGGACAGGGAGCCCACTGGGCCACCAGGGATCCAGGACACTGGACCACCAGGGAAAAAGGTATTTCTCTCGCCAAATATAACCCCTCCTTCCCTAACTGCCACCTATCACCGCCTACTCCTCTCACTGCCACCCCCCTAACTGCCATCTGTCACGCCCCTGCTCCCCTCACTGCCATCTGTCACCCCCTACTCCCCTCACTGCCATCTGTCACCCCCTACTATCCTCACTGCCATCTGTCACCCTCTACTACCATCACTGCCATATGTTACCCCCTACTCCCCTCACTGCCATCTGTCACCTCCTAGTCCCCTCACTGCCACCTGTCAACCCCTTCTACCCTCATTGCCACCTGTCACCCCATCACTTCCATCTGTCACCCCCTACTACTCTGCCATCTGTCACCCCTACTACCATCACTGCCATCTGTCACCCCTCTCACTGCCACCTGTTACCCCTACTACCCTCACTGCCATCTGTCACCCCCTACTACTTTTTATCCTTTAAAAAATGTTATATAACAAGTGTTGGTGCTATAAATTAAAAAGATGGAAACTGGTTGAACACACACACATAGCAAAAATTGCTTTGGTCCATAAAGTGATTCTATAGTCAACAAAACAACTTTAGCTTAAAGGATCACTAAAG